TTCCCTCCAGAAAGCAATTTTCATGAAACCTGTAGGATCTTGATGATCCTGGAGCCCTCTTTTCCTTCACTAATGGGGCAGAAAGGAGACAGGGGGGTTCAAAATTACCAGTGAGGAGCTGAGCTGGATGGAGCACACCTGCACCCGCCTGCTTTCCCAGGCTGAAAATACACTTGGCTTCAAACCCAGCTCTCACTGTGCCAGGTCTCTGCTCCAGGAGCATGGTGCTGCCGGGAAGGGGGGAGACGAGGGTGCCTGGTGTGCCGGGATATTAAGCAGATGCATCAGGACATGGCCGTGGGAAGGACACGGGGTGAGCGCAGGCGTCTGGGGCGGCTGCTCCCCGGGTTTGGGGATTGCAGAAGGAATATGAGCAGTCCGGGTTTCACCTCCCCGTGGGCGTGCTGTGCTCGGAGGAGGATCGAAAGCAAACAAAAACCCGAGTGTGGGCGGGCAGACACCTGCCTTCGGCTCCTCTCCCGGGTGTAATGAGCCTTTCCCGGGCCTCAGTTTCCACATGTAAGACATGATCGAGGGCAGAGGCCATCAGATGGGAGGGGGACGGGTGGATCATCCCAGATCCCCTCATTTCCCCTGCTGCTCCGGGCTGCAGCAGATCCCGGCTCTTTAAGGCTGCAATAATCCCTAGGCTGGGATTAGTTTTGCACCTAATCACTGCAGAACAAATATGAAGTTTTATTTACAGGAGAAGAAAGACAGGGAGGGAAAAAAAAAAAAAGCCTCAAGCACGGCTGATCCCAAGATAATCAGGAGCTGGAGGGTGGGAGGTGATCACTGACCTTGGAGCCCTCCCAGCTCTTACGTAAAGGCTTGTCATCCCCGTGCTGGAGTCGCAGCAGTCTTGAGCTCCAGCCCTGTCCCAGCCTGGGCTTGGTGACACCACCCTCCTCTCCTTTTAAACAGTCCAGGCCTGGACTTTGGGTATTTCTGGCCCAGTTCAACCCCTCCCTTAGGCATGTGCTCCATGGTGAACCCAGGAGCTGTCAGCTGTGATGGGAGCCACAGTTTAGGGGAGGATGGGGATGCTGTGAGGGGATCATGATGGGAATGGGGGAGGATGGGTGATGCAGGTGTGTCACCCCAAAGCCAAGCTGGTCCCCAGGGATTTGTATTTGCACGGGGTTGTGGTGGCAGCTCTCCTGCTTGAGAGCCCTGTCCCAGTTTGCTCCTAGATCACCTGCAAAAAAGGAGCCGAGCTGCTGCTCTGAGGGTGACAAGACATGGGTTTATTTTTCATCCATGCAAGCAAACAGCTTGGCAGCAGGCAAACCAGGAGTGGGAACGTGCTCCGTCCCTCCCCAAACTGCCCTCTGTCACTCGAAGTCTCTGTGGGTTTGCCCACAGGTCGGAGATGACTGGTGGGTGTTCAGGCTGGACCAGTTCCCAGCTCTGGGTGCAGGGGCAGCTTGTGATGGCTCCATGCCTGCCGGTGCCTGAATTTCTCTTTCCCCTGATGACAAACGTTGACAAATAAATAGCTCTTTTCTGCTTTGGCTCTTGCATAGTGGTAAAAAACGTCTGACCTGATTGGAGAGAGGAGTCCTGGGCCGTGGAAACCCATGGCTTCGTTGGCAAATGTGCCCATGGCATAGCTGCCAGCCTGGCCAAACGCCCATGCTTGCACCCTGTCCGTGCTCCCCCGCTGATGGCTGTTTTATTTCAGTTCCATTTCTGAGCTGGATTTGAAGGCCTTTCTCCTGGTTGAGAAGAACTTGACACCCAAGAAGATGGTGGTGATCAGGAAGAGGAGAGCCAGGGCGAGCAGGACCCAGCCGCCTGCTGTGGCTTGATTGTGAGCCAGGGACATGCCCAGGAAATCAGTTCGGTCGGGGCCAGCTTGGGCTGGAGTGGCTGAAAAATGGAGAAATGAGGGACATGGTTGGTGCTGAGGTGTGTTGGGCCACCAGCTCTCCCTTTGCTGGTCTCTTGGATGCCCTGTTCCCTTTAGATTCAGCTCCATGAGAAATCAAAGAGAAGCATCCAAACACCCTGTGGCTTTTTGGCTGGCCAAGGGGCACAAAGACAGCTCTGTCTTCTCCATGTGCCCCATCCTGGCCCTGGTGAGGGCTGAGATCTGCCCCATCATGGACCGGCTGTGCTTGGCGGAGCCCTGCGTACCTGTGTAAGGAGTCCAGCTGTACTCAGGCCAGCCCAGGACCTCCCCGTTCTTCTCATTCTCCTTCACCAGCCATGTCATGAGTGGCTCAAAGTAGCTCATCAGGGCATCAGCTGACATGTTGGGCTGTTTTGTGATGAGCTCCATGGCTTCGGGCCACGGCTTGCTGAAACCCAGCTTCAGGGCCTTCCTGTGGCAGGAGAAATCAGCTCCAGTGGGTTCCCCATCACCTTCTTGGCCACCAGCCCTTCCATTTTCCTCAGGGCTTGGGGCTTTTGGTATCAGCAACTCTGGGTACAGTCTGTGCCCCCAGTACCACAGGGCTGCCAGCCCAGAGCACAGGGAAGGAAATTTTGCTTGGGGAAAAGAGGGGGTTTGCATGGATTAAAGCCCTCCAGTGAATCCAGCCTGATGCAGAGCAGTTCCTGGGTGAAAGGGTTAATTTTTCAGGTGCTTGTCTTGAAGCAAGGGGGCTGTTTTCCCTAAGGAACAGGGGGCTGCGAGGAGGAAGAGGAGGAAAGGAGCCTTCCACCTGCCAGGGTCCCAGCTACCATCTAGTGGCTGCTTTTGCAATCACAGCCCCAGCACCCAGCCCGAGGTGCCCCTGCCCGGGGTCCCCCCCCAGAGCATCCCATGCTGGGGCAGGGGGGGAATGGATGACCTGGGGCCACGTTGCCTCTGGTCTTGCTGGGCTGGCTTTGAGGTATTTGGGGACATAAATGTCTTGTCCCTGCCCTGCCCACGCACCTACCCCAAGATCCTCCCAGCCTCCTTGGACTGGTAGATGTCACACGTGTGCAGGGGACCCGTGTGGTTGGCTGCCACGCAGAGCGCCTGGTGGAACTGGAACTGGATCACAAAGCTGACAAAGTACCTGCGGGGTGGTGGAGAGGGGTGAGGATGTGAGAATGGGCCCTGCTAGTAACTGGACAAGAGGGGATGTGCCCTCCCTCATCCCCTGGTTGCACCCTCCCAGTCTGGAGGAGCATCACTGGCTTTGGAGTTCCACTTGCATCAACTCAGTCCCATCCGCTGATGTCATTTCTCCTTTGATGTGTTTTATGGCTGCCTGAGTAGATGAGCACCTCCTCCTTGCATAGGGAGAAATCCCCTGAAATCCAGCCTTCCTCTCTGAGGCTTTGCCAGGGTCCCTGGAGCTGCCCAGCACCCTCAGGATGGTACCACCAAGTATGTCACCAGCCATGAATCAAGGTGACATCACTGGCATCCGAACTGGAGATCCTGCTTCTGTGCCCGGGTGGTGTCCCTCCTCCCCCAGCCCTGCTTGCTCACCTGATGTAGGGAACATTGGCAGGGATGTGAAACTTTGCCCCGGGGTCAAAGTCATCTTCAGACCTTGGTGCTGGTGGGCACAAGCCCTGGTACTTCATCCTGGGTCGGAGAGGGAGAGTTAGCCCAACATGGGGAAGAGAAGGTGAGGCAAGCCGGGAGGGGACACAGCGGGGTGTGGGGACAGTGTGAGAGGTTATGTATCCCATCACGTCCCGTTGCAGCCAAGTGGCCCACGGGGAGGAAACACCCAGCGGGATGATGGCCCTTGTACCAGAGAGGGGTCTGAAGTCAAGCACACCTGAGGTTCCACCACTGCTGGTTGTACTCATCCTCCTTGATCCGCCCATCAAACACCTTCCAGCGCCACTGGTCCATGAGGTACCCGAAGGGCAGGAAGGCGATTTTGTCCAGGGCAACGCTCATCAGGTAGTTAATGTCACTTTCTGCCCAGGGTGGGAAGGTGTGAGCAAGGCAGTGCTGTAACCACATCTCCACCCTGTATGGGTCATTCTGCCCAAGAGCAGGGTGTCCCCACCAGGTCCTGTCCCCTCCGTGCATGCAAATCCACCGTGCATGTCCCTGACCCCTTCCTCCCTGCCCAACCCATCCTGACCAGCATTGCCAGCTGCCCCCAGAATGCCCCCACCTCTGCTGTGTGGCGCTCCCCTGCCCTCTCACCTTTGTTGTCTGTGACTTGGTCCAGCAGATTGATGCTGTGCAGGTGTTTTGGGGTAGAGACAGACAAGGCCATGACATCCCCGACAGCCTCATGGAAGCCAGGGTTGGCCCCATCGCGGAATGAGATGGGCTGGTCCATGTACTGCAGGAAGTACTGGACGTGGCCCATCTCGTGGTGCACCGTGATTAGGTCGTCCATGTTCACCACGGTGCACTGCTTGATCCTGGACCATGACATGTGGGATGTGGGGAGAAGGGAGGGTAGTGCTGGGGTGAAAATTTCCAGGAATGATCACAACTCCTTATTTTTCTCTCTGGCCTCCCTTTCCATATGCCCCCACCCTACATCTGGTGCCAGGCTGGACTGGTCCTATTCCATTGGGTTGGTCTCTATTTTCTTCTGCATCTCCTGCTGCCTCTGACCATCCCCTGTCCCTGTTCACTGGCTTTTCCATTCTCCGTGGCAGGAAAGGCATTGATTGCCCTCCGTCCACCATGGGGGCTCCTGCCAGCAGCTCCCACATCTTGGGCACCAGTAGCAATGCCAGAGTGGGGCTGCTGCAGCCACAGGGCAAGAGACACCAGGGTGGCATCAGGCCACATGCCCTTATTCTCCCGACATTGCTACCTGCCCGAGCACCACGTCAGCTGGAGACACCACTTGCTCCCCACGGGCACCTGAAGTCCTTGCGGTTGTAGAAGTCCCAGGCTGAGGCGTGACACACCACCTCCCGCCCGTCTGCTGGCTTCTCGATCATGGACTTGTCCCAGAACTCCTGTGGCATGGGGATGAGGCCCAGAGAGGTGAAGAAACGGTCCGACTCTTCAAACATCTTCTTTGGTGTCCAGCCCTGGGCAGAGAGAAGACAGAGGACCTGGTGAGGGGCAGGGGGGGGTGCTGGGGGCTGTGGGAAGGGTGAGAGGCCAGGGACAGCCTTGTTCCTCTGGGCAGGGCAGGGGGGCAGCTAGAGCTGGATCCAGCCCTTGGCATACCCAGGTGGTAGAGAATATGGAAGAGGCATGGAGGTTTTTTGGCAGCACCAGAGCATCTGGCAACACAGGTGGTGGCAACAGCTGAAGGGTGCTGGGTCCCAAAGGGCTTGCCCAGAGCAGCCTGGAAAAGCACTGACCTGTTTTTTCATGGCCGGGGTGGCATCCACCTTGGTGGCATCTGGGAAAGGTATCACCAGATCGAAAATGTTGGACCATGACTGGGCCCACATGTTGCCTGGGAAGCACAGGAGGGCAACGCGTGGCAGGAGGGAGACCGGGAGAGAAGAGCAAAGACAACCAGTTACTCCTGACTCCTGCGCAGGGTGGATCACCCCGCCTGCTCCCTGCCCCGCCTGCACCAGGGTGATGCAAGCAGGAGCCTGTCTGTGCAGGAGAGATAAAGTCACACTGTGTTGCCCTTTCCTGGGGCAGACTGGCCTCTGCAGACCCACCGCGTGGGGTCTTGGCCCTTCAGCCAGAGCTCAGCTCTTGGCATGACTTGGAGCAAACTGCTTGGTGGGAGACAGCTCTGCTCGAGCAGAGCCCTTACCGAGCAGGTGAGCAGGGATGGGACCCTTCAGGTTTACGTGCTCTGCACCATACTTTTTGTACAGGGCCCGGCGTACGTAGGCATGCAGATGGAGGTACAGGGGCTGCAGCTGCAGGTACAACCTCTCCAGATCTTCCTCGAAGGTGGGTGTCTCATACAGGGATCTCCAGAAGGCCCCATTGTCCGTGTAGCCTGTGGCAGGGCAAGACCAGAAGCTGTCAGACACTGCCCTTCTTGGACAGCAGTTTGTCTTGCTGCCCAGGCACCCAGGTCCCTCCATCTCTATGAGACAGTGGATCTCATGGGAGTTGGTGGCACCTCCACACCCTCAATATTTTGGCCATGAGTTGGATGATCAGCCCAATCCTCTGTTCACAGGGTGCTAAGACCATGGCGGATCCCTGAGGGAGCAGGACACTGACCATTGAGCACGGCTGCCTTGTTGCTCAGTTCCACATATCGCTTGTAGTTGTTCTTGATCTTCTTCCCAGAAGCATCCCGCCAGCCCTTCCATGCAAAGAGGAGCTCGTCATAGTCTCGTGAGGTGGCCATGATGTCCGTGAGATCTGAAGGGAGAGCAATGATGCCAAAGTGATGCTGTTGGATGGACTGGACTAGTGCTAGACCCAATGTGCTGCTCAGGGGCCATCGCGAGAAGGTGGCAAGGCCCCTTCATGACCTTTCCTCATGTCCCTGTTAACAAACCCCTCCTTTCTGGGCCTGCTGCAGATGAATCATTGGACATGCTGCCAAATCTTACCAGGATCCAGAGGATGACAGATTTTGTTCTCTCTGCAGACCTTGGCTACGCTGTATGTGGTCTCCATATCTGAAAGGAGGGTGTTGTACTGCAAAGAAAATCAGACCATGTGAGCTGCTTATCCTTACTCCTGCTCTTGGAGAATGTCACCGCCCACTGAGTGTTTTCCTCTTGTCCCTTCCAAGGCCAAATGTGACCCCAAATGGAGACAAAGTGGAGTCAATATAGGAGGGACTGGGGCCATCAACCTTTGTCACCCAAGCAGCCAGGCCCCACTGCAGCCTGGGCTAGCGACCTTTGAGTGGGAAATCCCAGAGACAAGGATCATGGCTTTGTGTAGAAGGGACCAAACTATCACTTTGTTCAAGGGCAAGGGGTGGCTGATCAGTGGCATTTCCTAAAAGTTGGGAGAAACCTTTGTCCCCACCCAGGGTAGCGGCAAGGGACAGCCCATCCTGCTCTGTCCCCTTGCAGCTCACCTCCTTCAGCTCATTCTCAGGCAGGGCTGCCCTCTCAATGACACTCAGCTTCTTGAGGATGCGTGTGACACTTTGGTCCTGGAAGTCGGAGGGGTCGAACTGCCTGGCCTTCATGCCATACTCAAGGGTGTGCTTGGACATGGCCAAGTTCTTCTCCAGCTGCAAGAGCAGGAGGGGACAGAAGAGGAGTTACTTCAAGGAGATCCCCAAGGCCATCACTAGAAACACCACCTGGCGTGCCATGACTGACAACCTCCCCATGCCTGCCCTTGTGGGTACCTTGTGGCACGACAAGGTTTTTCATGGAAAACACACCTCCTGGGTGAGAACATTACCCCTTGGCTAGGGGCAGAGACTGCCCTGGCTTTCAGAGCTCATCTGAAACATGCCCGGGGTACCAGCTGCCTGCCTTGGCTGTTGCCTCTCCCCACACAGCCCCAGGGTCGTTCCCATACCATGACCTCCTTGTTGTGGTCGGTGATGTTGGTGTTGTAGGCCCAGGATGCCTCGGTGTAGGCGTTCCACACTGCCTCGGCCGTGCTGTTGTACTCAGACAAGAACTCTTTAGCTTGTGCTTCATCTGCTATTTTGTCTAGAGAAGGAGATAAATGGGTGAAGAGCGGGGAAGGTCAGGAGAGTCCTTCTCTTTGCAAGAGCATCACCCCATGGAGAATCCATGGTTCAGCTTTTCCCAGAACTGCAGGTTCATTGGAAGACACCACAACTTGGGAGCAGGTTGAGTCAAGAAATGGGGGCAGAGGCACAGCTGGGGTATCCCGTTGGACAGATGAAGGGATAACAGGACAAGCTGCATGCCCTTAGACCCTCCCATGGGAGCAGAAAACAGCTGAAGATAGATGACCTGTCACACCATGACTGATGGCATTACTACAGCGGCAGGGACACAATGGTACGTCAAGGGGTTGGTGATGGCAGCTGCTTCCTGAGAAGCAGCACCCTGTGGGATCCCACATGGGGATGGGTGTTTCATTCTCTTGGCATGGGGACCTCCCTCACCCACAGCAGAGCACTTTCCTGCCTGAGGGTTAGTGATGTCCCTCCGGAGACCTCTTCCTGCCCCTGCCCCGAGTCAGGATGGACCCGAGGCCTTACCAATGCCTTCAGGGTAGCCTTCAGGGACAGGGGGACGCCAGTCAAACTCAGGCCAGCCCAGCACCTCCTTGGTCTTGTTGTTCTGGTCCTGAAGCCACTCGGTGACAGGGCTGAAGTACTCCAGGAGGGGCCCAGCGTCCATCTTATCCGTACCAGTGAGGTTGAACAGAATTTCCTGCCACGACTTGGAAGACCCAGCTTTCAACACTTCCCTGCAAAGGAGCAGGGCAGCAAGAGCCAGCATGAGGCCGGAGGATGGATGGGAGAAAAGCAGTGGTGGTATTTCAGCATTGCAAGGGTCGAAGATGCTATTTCTGAGTGGGACAGGAATCTGGGAACTGGCTCTGAAGCCCCAATCTGTCCTGCATACAGGGACTGAGGAACCCCATCATCTACTCATGCACTTGTTAACCCCTCGGGGAGTCAGTAGGAACCGAAAGTGATTTAATGACCTTTTGCCTGGGTGGGAGCTGATGACAGGGACAACAGCAGTGCTCTGGTGAGGACCACTCACCCCACCCCAGTGCTTCCATGTATTTCCATCCATCCATTCATCCATCTGCAAAGCTATTTCTCCAGCCATCTCCATAGCCTCCTTTCCTTCCTTCCTTCCTTCCTTCCTTCCTTCCTTCCTTCCTTCCTTCCTTCCCACACCATCCGCTTCCATGCACACATGGTGATTGTCCCGACCCTCCTCTGTCCCCACCTGAGTTTGGCTCCAGCCTCTTTGGACATGTAGATGTCACAGGTGTGCAGGGGACCGGTGTGTTTGGCTGCCTGGCACAGCGCCTTGTGAAACTGGAACTGGAGGATGAAGCTCACAAAGTACCTGCCAAGAAAACCCATGAAGGTGAGAACTGGGGACAAAAAGGAAGCAAACAAGTCCTAGGACATGGGAGAAGGCACCTCACATGTCAGTTCCCCATCATTTGTGCTCCCAAGTGTTGGATATTGTCTGTGTCTCGAGCAGATGTAACACAACCCAGTCCCTGCTCGCAGAGCTGAGCCCCGACTCCCCCTGCTCCCCAAGTCTCCATCCCCTTGCCAGCACCTCCTCTACCTGATGTAAGGGGTGTTCCCAGGGATGTGGTACTTTGCTCCAGGGTCAAAGTTGCTTTCGTTCCTTGAAACTGGAGCACAGATACCCTGGTATTTGGTTCTGCAGACAACAGAGAACAAGGGCATGAGCTGTCAAGAGGGAGGCAGATGAAACAAGGCAGGGAATGAGAAGGCAAGGCTGAAGAACTGGACACAATTAGAGTGTACTTCCATGTATTTCCATCCATCCATCCATCCATCCATCCATCCATCCATCCACCCATCCACCCACCTACCCACTCCTCTACCTGTCCACCCCACCCTCCCATCTATCCATTGTTTTCCAACCATATCCCTTGCTACTTTTTCCTTTTTTCCTTCCTTTCTTCTTTCCTGACTTCCCTCCTTGCACACCCCCAGCTTCCACACCTCCATCCACCCCTGGTGACTGTCCTCTACCTCAGATACCACCAGTCGTAGTTGTAACGGTTCGGGGGTGTGCGGCCATTGAACACGTTCCAGCGCCACTGGTCGATGAGGTAGCCAAAGGGCAGGAAGGCAATCTTCTCCAAAGCCATCTTCAGCAGGTAGTTGATGTTGCTCTCTGCATGAAACAGAGCCTGGACTAGGTTGGGAAGAACTCTGGCTGGGCAGCGGTATGGACACTAGACTCTTTGTGGACAAGAGGGTAAGAAAATCTCATTGGGGGCAGCATTTCAACAGATAAGCTTACTCCCTAGAGAAGGCTGTGTAGGACACAGGAGATTTGTCTGGATGCAGCTCCTGCCTGGGGCAACATGTGACTTTTTACTGAGTGAAGATGATGGGAGAGAGAAGCTCCGTGTCCCCTGGGCTTCAGCCTGGCCCTCAGAGTGAGAAAGTCTCTGGTGAGTGTAATTCTAATGGTTCCCTCCTCCCACATTCAGCCTGGGGGACTCAACGTGAAGGGGCTTTGGGCTGCATGTCTGTCACACAACTGCAAGGATTCTCATGGTTTAGACCCAAAACCAGAGTAAACTCTGGGACAGTCACCGCCATGTCGTGGGCAGCACAGAGGATGGTGAGATCTGCTTTCCCCTTTGCCACAAGGAAACCTGGGGGAGGAAGGTTGGAGAAGGACCTGCTGGAGACCCGACTGAAGCTGTGGGGTCAGAGAGGGGTTGGCAGCACTGCCCTGAGGGGCTGTTGGCTGCCACAGCCGTGGTGGCGTGGCTGCCAAGGGCTGGTTAGTTGGGCAGCAGCGCCTTGAGGCCAGGACCATCTGCTCCGTGGTGTTTATGATGCTCTTGGCTGCTGTAATGGCTTCCCCATCATGAAACGTGTTTAATGACAAGGCAGGAGGATCCCGGGACTGTCCCTCCTCCGCAAAGCAGCCGCCTGCGGCAGGAGTCTGCAGACACTTGGTTTCCTCTGCTGCTGTCTGCTTTGACGTGTTGGATGAAAGATGGGTGGGGGGAGAGACACTTGCCAAGCCAGGCAGTGCCCCGCAGCAACAAATCCACCTCCACAGTGCCGGCTGGCAGGCAGACACGTCACCTGCTGACTGTCCTCGTGACTCCGCACGTAAGCGCTCAGTGCCACCTCCACAGAGCTACACCAGGAGCTCCGGGGCTGGATGTTTCTTGGCAAGGGAAGGGGGAATGCTCGAAAGGTCAAAGCTGATCAAGTACAAAGATGCTGCTTCCAGGTTTGGGGCTCTGATGGAGGAGGGAAGGAAAAGGAATAGACAGGCTCTGGAGAGTATCTCTCCTGCCCTCAGGGGTGAAGAGGATGGAGTCACGAAGGGTCCTACATGGAGTCATGGAGCCAAGAAAGAGTTGTGCATGAAGCCATGGAGGCAAGATGGATCCTACATAGAACCACAGAATCACAGAATCATCTAGGTTGGAAAAGACCTTGAAGATCATCTAGTCCAACCATTAACCTCACACTGACCGTTCTCAAATCCACCAGATCCCTACATGGACCCATGGAGCCAAGAAGGAGTTGTGCATGGATCCAAGCGTGAGTGAAAGTCACACAATCAGCCATAAGGTCTTGCCTACTCTGGGCTGCGTTGCCAGACTGAGCCTGAGCCCTCCAGGCCACCCAGCTACTCAGGGCAGCTTCCATACCTGTGTCCTCAGTGGCACTGCTGAGGAGACCAATTTTCTTGAGGTGACTGGGAGTGGAGACAGACAGGGACATGACGTCGCCGATGGCCTCATGGAAGCCAGGGTTGGCCCCACTGCGGAACGAGACAGGCTGGTCCTTGTACTGCAGGTAGTACTGGACGTGGCCCATCTCGTGGTGCACCGTGAAGAGCTGCTCCATGGTCACCGTCGTGCACTGCTTGATCCTGCCAGGTGAAAACAGAGCATCGCCTGAGCTGGTGAGGGACCCTGGCTGCCTGTGCGCCCCCTGGATGGGAAGGACCCTCCAGGGTCTCTGAGGAGGTGGCAGCCCCCCATGGGGAAGGGAAGAGACCCAGTGGAGGGGAAGGCAGGGCATTGTTGTGCCCTGAGACTGAACCCCAGAAAGTGGCAGATGGGGCTGTGTGGACAGGCTGGGGGTACCCAAAATGGTGACCAGCAAGGGGGATGGAGGAGGGCCTTACCCTGTAGCCCTGGGCCCCTGCATGCCTCCACACACCTGAAGTCCTTGCGGTTGTAGAAGTCCCAGGCTGAAGCGTGACACACCACCTCCCGTCCATCCGTTGGCTTCTCAAGCATGGACTTGTCCCAAAACTCGGGGGGCATCTCCAGCAGCCCCAAGGAGGTGAAGAACTCCTCCGAGACCCGGAACATGTGGGTGGCGTTCCAGCGCTGGTGGGCAGCAGGTAGTGGGTTACGGCTGAGGAAGGGGCTGCCCATGCACTGGACATTGTCTCTGATGCTGTCCCAGCACCGTGAGGATGAGGTGGGTCCCTCCAAGGGACGAGGGTCCTGCCCCCTCACCCTAATGGGGAGCCCTGGCCCCAGAAATGGGGTAAGCATTCCTAAGAACCAGTGAAGAGTGGTGCTGGTGCCCAGCATAGACAGGAGAGGGGAGCAGGGCTGGTGCCCCAGGAGGGCTTGCAGCTGTGTGATGGTGTGGACACAGCTCCCAACCCAGGGACTGGCACCAGTCCCACCACACTGTTCTTCCTCTTAGCCCACCCACTGCCTCTTTGGTCATTGCCAGAGGGGGACTGGGGTCATTTCTTTGTCCCTTCCCCTCCCAGACATGGCTTTTCTGCTGTCCCCTATGCAGGTGTGAGAAACCACTCAATGTTATGCACAAGCCTTGGCCAACACCCCCCAAGTTTTGTCCCCCTGGTGACACCAGTGAGCACCTCAGCCCATCACCTGCTGCACCATGGTGTTTGTGACATCGAGGTTGGGCTTCCCAGGGTAGGGGACCATCAGGTCATAGATGTTGTTCCACTGCTGAGCCCACATGTTGCCTGAGGAGAGAAAACAGTTGGAGCAGAGCTGGTGGTAGGTTGGGAGAAAGAGAAACACAGTGATGACTGGGAACTCGCTGTCCCACCATGGCCCTGCATGTGCCCCTCTGGCCCCACCAGCACCCCTGGGCGCAGGCTGGGGGTCCCTCCTCTTACCCAGGAGGTGAGCAGGGATAGGACCCTTCAGGTTGATATATTTAGGGCCATAGCGGTCGTACAGCTTCCTCCGGACGAAGGCGTGCAGGTTGAGGTAGAGTGGCTCCAGCTGGTTGTAGAGATGTTCCAGGTCATCCTCAAAGGAGGCTGAGTCATACCAGGAGCGCCAGTAGCTGCCTGTGTCCTCAAATCCTACCAGAGAGGCAGTCATTGCCCCTGGCACTGACCCTCGGGGTTTTCCACCCACCTAGCCCCAAGAGCGGGGACCAGAGGATAGCAGTAGGTATTTGCCCTTTCCCTGAAGTGTTGACACCAGGGAAATGGAAGTTGGATGCCCAGCTGCATGCAGAATGGGGAGAGCAACAGGGCACTCCATTGCCCCAGTTCCCACCCCGATCCCTAACCACCCCCTGCATTCCCCCATCCCGCTCATACCATCCATCTGATAGGCCTCGTTGCTCAGCTTCACAAACTCCTCATACTTGGCGCGCAGTGGGTTGCCCGCGGCGTTGTGCCACCCCTCCCAGGCATAGAGCAGCTTCTTGTAGCTGCGGGAGGTGGCCATGATATCCGAGATGTCTGGGACAGAGGGGACAAGTAGGACATGACAGAGGGGCAGGAGAGGGGGCCACATCCCATAGCTCTGCGGAGGTGCTGCCACCATTGGGGCAGACCCAAATACCCATCCTTGCCCTGGGACAACCCCAATGAACATGGGTGGGACCTACCAACCCCAACCCACTGGGGATGTGGGGACCATGACCAGGTCATGGCCACAGGGTGCTCAGCACCCCGCAGGAGCGGGGGCACAGAGTCCATACCTGGCTCCAACTCCCAGCAGGTACCATTGGGCAGACACACCTTGGCCGTGGAGTAGATTTTGTCCATGTTGCTCAGGATGGTGTTGTACTACAGGGAAGGAAAAGACGTTGGGGATGGGAATGGCCCTTCAGGAGGGACCTACAGACTTCCCAGCTCTGGAGTGTGTGTGTGTGTGTGTGTTCGGAGGGATGTGGAGGAGGATTGGGGTGTTTACACAGTGTGTTTTTGGTGAAATAAGCATGTTATCACCCGGATTTTTTGCACCCATCACATGGTGGGAGCAGGGAGGCTCTCTGGGCCAGACAACCCGTGCACAGCTGCTCGCTGAACCGCCCTCAAACACGGCACTCGTGCTCGTGGCGTCCTGGAGCGGGGCTATTTATAAAACTCTGTCAACAGGGTGCACAGCCTGTTTATCTAAGTGGGTAAAAAAAAAATAATAAGAAAAGCAGGAGGAGGAGGGGGATTTATTTCTGTGAACTTCAACAACAGCAAACAATAGCAACAGGGGGTTTCCTGGAACCTGCCTGGGGAGTCTATTCCCAGGGAAGGAAATTCCTCTGCTCCATCCCTCTCTCCGCTCCCATCACTCTGCTCTGGCCGGGTGAAGGGGATGGAGACAGGGGATGGTGGCAGCTGCGGAACGGAGCTGCCCGGGGGTGGGTGAGCCATGGCTGATGTGCAGGGAGGAGACATGATGTTGTTTGTTATCTGGGAGAGGGCGGGCAAGGGTTTCCTGGAAGGAACCGGGGCTGACGCTTCTCCAGAAAGGGCTTTGTCCTTTGTCACAGGGCTTTGCCAGGGATTCGGTGTGCTGTCAGGGAGCCATGGGCCATGCTGGAGGGGATGGCAGTGCCAGTGTCCCTATGCTCATGCCGAGACAAGAGGCTGCCAGACTCAGCCTGGACAATATTTTCATAAAAAAAAAAAAATAATCACCTTGCATTTCGGTAAACTACCCTGAAAGTTCGGTACTGTGATGGGGAAGGCTCAGGATGTCCTGATGTCCCTAATGAGGAACTGTGTCACCGAGGCACAGCACGTCTGGGCTTGCAGGGAGGGCTCAGGAGCTGGGTGGCTACAGCAGCCCTCCTTTTCAGTGGGCTGCATCCCTGAGAAGCCCTGGGGTGGGGTTTGGGCCAGATGGCCACTGGCCATGGGCACAGACTGGCTGGTCTCCAGGTGACACCCAAGGCTGCTCTGTATAACCAGGAAATTTCCAGTTCCCACTGGGATAGTTCCAAGAGGAGGTTAGGGCTGGATAATGGGGCCAGCAGGCACCCCACAACCCCCAGAGAGAGCACCCCATCTCCTCCCTTCACCACTGTCTTCCGTTTGCAGAGGCCACGAACACCCTGCAAAATGCAACGGAGGGGCAACAGGCCAGCAACAGAGCCTGGAGATTTGGGAAAAATCCCTTTAAGGGGTTTTGCAGCACCCCAGCAAATCTCAGGGCTTCGCTGGCACCTCGCCTACCTTCTCTCTCTGCTCCAGGGGCAGGTTGGAGGGTCCCAGGGTCTGGATGGAGCCAATGATTTTCCTCAGCTGTGGGTCACTGAAGTTGCTCCAGATGCTGCCGTAGAGCTCCTTGGCTTTCTTCCCCCACAGCTCCGTGAAATTTTGCTCCTCCAGTGATGCCTCGACCTGCATGGTGAGAGGGACACAGGGCCTCAGGACCAGTCCTGGGACATGCCTCCACCCAGGACACGAGATGGCAGGCAGGGCTGTCCCCAGTCTGTGACATTCATAGGTAGAGACATCAGCTTCCAGCTGACACGGCGACATGGGCAGCCTCCGCTTGCCTGCGGCGCTCCTGGCGAGCACCCGCCACGGTGGCCTTTGAGGATGCTTTAGGGGTGACTCCAGGGTGTTGTGGCCGGATGGGGTGGGAAAGCTGGGACAGGGGTGGCCACGCCATGCGGGCAGGGTGTCTGGGACCTCCCGGGCTGGCTCTGGCAACTGCCAGACCCCAGTTTCAGAATGAGCTCAGGGGTCTGGCTTCATTTTATTCCTATTCCTGCCCTTTCTCACCTTTGCAGAAGCCCAAAGGAAAACTACAAAGATGCCACATTCACTTTTCTCCATCCTATTACCTCCTTGCTACATCTACACATTTCTTCTCCCGCTGTCTGCAGCTTGTGCCCTGTAAGTGCCATATCTGGGTTTCACCTTGCAGAGGGACACCCATTTGTACCCTCCCCCTGGGTTTGGGTCTCTCAGTGTCACCCACCTCCTGTGCCAGCCCCGACCTCCCTTCCCAGGGCCGTGGGATGGCCCGGAGCTGCCTGCACCATGGGGGGTTATTTAGGCAGCTGGAGCTGTGGCCAGCGGCCACGATTTGGGGACGGGGTGTATTGCTGGCAGTCACATCCCAGTCTGGCCAGTGTCAGCTGTATTTTCAGGAAACACTGATTTTTCAAGAATGTCCTGGCCCAGGCGATGCGCAGGATGGAGTGAGAAGGTGCAGAGTGCCTGTGTCCATGTGCTGTCCCGGCATGATTGATGGAGCTCATTAGCTGTTATTCGTGGCATTTTTAGCCTGGCTCTAAGCCTGGTTTGTTTTATTTTAATCTTCACATTCCCTCAGCTGGCAGTGGGGAGGGAAAGGAGTTACGGTGTGGCAGGGTTGGAGGTTGCCCGGGGCAGGCACCCATGAGGCCGGGGCACAGGGGAGTGAGGATGCCAAAAGTGCTGGGTGCCCTGGGCTGCCCACCACCTCCTTGGACACCCCAGCACCCACAGCATCACTCTGCCCCTGATGCTCTGGCAAGCCAGGATGGGCCAGCCCCATGGACACCCTGCACTGGAACAAGATGCTCTTACATCACCCCACTAAGCAGGGGATATCTTTACCCCTTTCCAGACCCCACTGCAGAGCCAGGGGAGCTGCAGGAAGCAGAGTCCAGCTGTGTTTCATCTTCTCCTTGAACAGGCGCCTGTGTTTGGTCAGGCAAATTGTACCCTAAACTCTCCTGACAGCTCTGGAGGAGCGAGCCGAGGCTGGCAGCACTGCCTGAGACCCCCTCGCTGCGGCCGTACCCACCAGTCCCGGCTTTGTGCCCGCACAGCTGGGAGATCTCTCTGTGGGGGTGCCCCTCTGAGGGTCTCAGAGGTCCCTGGGCACCCGCAGCCCCCAAGTGTCCCTACCAAATCCCCCCACCCCAGTCCCTCCCTGCTCCTGGCTGCACAGTGAAGGTTCAGCAGCACAGGATGAGGCCCAGGGTGCTGGGGCTGCTCCCAGCACCTGAAGAAGTCCCACACCCATGAGCAGCCACTGAACCCCAAACACCATCGCCAGCCTCTTGCCCAGAGCCGCAGCTGGCAGCAGACCATCACCACCCTGTCCCACGGCCACTCACCCTGTCTGTCATTCCAGGTCCCTCTGTCCGGGGGCTGCTGCCCTGCTTCTGGCCACCTGCCCCTCGTGTCACTTTGTCCCAGGGCCACCTTTCATGGCAGGTCCTGCAGTTGCCCACACCATAGTGGCCTGGCTCAGCCTCTCATGTTATAGACACGTGTGGGGTTTGCCTGGCCCAAGGCTTCCCCTGATCCCCCAAATTCAGCCTTTTGGGTTGTGCCGGCCACCTGTTAACCCTTTAGTACCCATTGCCTCCCCACCCCATCGCACACCTCCCTGCTACTCCGTCAGTGGGGTGATCCCAGGGGCCAGATCCCCTCCTCTTACTGGGCTGGCTTGGCAGCTTTGACATCACGGGGAGCACCTGGCCATGATCCTCAGGCATTTATTAACACAGGAAAGGGTGAAAGTTGGCCTGGAAATGCCTCTTGAGAAAAGGCCATGCAAGGTCCTTTCCCTGGTTAAGACCTCGGACTCGGTGTGGCCGGGATGCTCCTGCTCTGTCCCAGGGTCTCTGGCCCCACCGCAACATCTGCAGCAGACACGGGGCACCTGCCCAGACTTTGTGTCAGCTCGCCGAAAAAAGGCTGAAGGGGCACTTGGGTGCTCTCGGGTGTCCTGCCAAGTTGGCGGTGGCCGGATTTGGCAGTGATTTTCCTTCCCCATACAGGAAAACATGATTCCTTCCTGCTGCAGGGCACACTGTGCCCCCCCGCCCTCCCCGTGGGATCCAGAGCGGTTTGGAGCTGTGTGGCAGCCCTTGGGGTGCAGGGGTGATGCTGGGGTCCCTGAACGCACAGACCCCTGTGCACCACCAGCTATATGGGGCGGCAGGCGTATCTCTGAGCTACACACAGCGCCGTGGCCGTGCCCCCTGTGCCGGAGTAGCCAGCAGCTCCCTGGGCACAGCCAGAGCAGGGAAACCTCTGCAGCCCACCCAGGCACCACGATTCCCCGACCCATGCCAGGCAGGGGCTGAGAGCAGCCCTTGAGGTGTCGAACTCCCTGCGCCACTAAATCCAGCCCAAACACACGCAACCCCCCCGGCAAAGCACACACATGCCTGTGGGATGCACGCAGCATTGCTCCCTGCCACCACTGTGCCCGCACGTAGCGGGGCTGGTGTCTAATCCCCCGTAGCCTGGGGTGTTTTCCCAAGCTGGCTTCGCCCCTGTGGGCTGGGGACACAAGGACAAGGGGTGGCAGCCTTGGTCCCGATGCCACCCCGTTGCTTGTGCACACTTTGGGGTCCCAGCGTCTGCCCCAACCCAAAAGCCCCCAGTGCTGGGACGCAGCAGGGCTCTGGCAGGGCACAGTGCCCAGATGGGGTGGCACAGGCAGGGATGGGGACAGGGACACCTGACACCTGACCCTGATCCAGAAAGGGGGGAAGGAAAGTGGAAGGTGCTGGGGAGGAGGGAACCACCTTTCAAAATAACCCAGATTCTGTTCCAGGACCAGGGCTGTCACGCCGGGGCAGAGCCTCTCTGAGGACCAATTTGGGGCAAAACCTTATGATTCCCGGGCTACGAGTCCCAGCCCTGGTTTGACATCCTGGGGTGCCGAGAAATGAGCCCATGAGGAGGGAGGAGACCCCCCCAAGTGTCCCCACCATGCCCCAGGGACCCCACCAAGTGTCCCCACCATGCCCCAGCCCCCCTGTTCCCCGGTGCTGGGGACACCCCTGCGGTGGCATCGCCCCCGTCCCGCCACCCACCTGCAGAGCAGCGTTTTCGGTCGTCAGGTTGGTGTAGTAATTCCAGCTGGCCGAGACGCTCTCGAAGAGGACGAGCTCAGCCGTGCTGTTGTAGGCGCTGGCGAAGAGGGCGGCCCCTTCCTCGGTGGGGTCATGGTTGGGGGGCTCAAGGCCAGGCCGAAGGGCACTCGCCAGGCTCAGCCACAGCAGCAGCCCCAGTGCCGGGGGCATCGCGGCGGGAGTGGTGCACGAGTGGGGGGGCCCCGGTCGGTGCCTTGCGAGAGCTTTGCCTCCGCTGCCGGCTGCTTATAAGCCAGCAGCCTTCGCGCAAACCCTGCCCACCGAGCCTGCCTCCCCTCGCAGATAAGACCGGAGCATTTCGCTCTCCCTTCGGCAGCTCCCGGGCTTGCGGGAAGGAGCAGGGAGCCAGCGCTGCCTTGGGGTACAAAGTCCCTTTGGCGCTTGGCCATGCCGGGAGGGAAGGGGAAGGGGCTGGGACAGAAGGGAGGAAAGGAGACAGATAAGAATTGAAGGAAAGGTGGAAAAAAAAGCAAGGAGGAGAAAGGCTGGGGTGGACAGGGTGAGTGGGAGGCAGTTCCATGTTTGCAGGGTCCCCGTCCCCTCCTGGCTCAGCGCAGGGGGATCCGGCTCGGCTGGACCATGGCGCTTGGCAGGAGATCCCCTCCCCACGCCAGCATCACGCGGCGAACGCCCCTCAGCAGCGGCCCGGCCACCCGCCGCGGGATACGAGGGCGAGCACAGAAGGAAAAGCACTCACTTGGAGGGCAGCCAAGGTCCATCTCCTGCTGTTTCTTGCCAAAGTGACCCCCTTCCTGACATAACCTAATTTTTTTGAGAAACGGAATATCTCTGCTGGCTGTGAAGGAACTCCCATCACATCACACCAAGTGTTCTGGACTTGGAGAAATTAGTCTGATGACAAACAAGTAACAAAAAGTTCCTTCAAAATGAAAACCAGACCCATGTCGGTGGGCTTGATAGTTCCTTTCTTCTTTTTTTCTTTCTATTTAATTAACTAAATCCCTTTCCTCCAGGGCCTGGCCCCAGTGCTGGGAACCGTGCCCAGACTGAGCACGGGATGGTTGAGTCCATCATCCCTCGTTGGGGCCACCACCCCTTAGGGACACAGTAGACACTGGCCATGGAGGGCACAGCTTTTCTCGGGGGGGAACAGGGAGAAACTCCTTGACTTGTTGGCCCTGCTGGGTTCTGGAGAGCATGGGGGGGACAGCATGCCCCCCTCAGCAAGGGGTGAGTCCTTCTGCAGGGCTGGGCACCCTACAGCGTGTGCAGAGCCATTTCCAAAAAAGAAAAGGGATTTAGGAGCCTGCAACCCTCTGATGTCTATTAAACCTCCCTTCAAAAATCACAGCCTCTCATCCTGCCTTTCCACCCTCCACCTGCACAAGCTGATGTGGGCACCCAAACAACCTTCATCACCCCAACCCCTGAGCCTGTATGGATGTGCAACAGCACTGGCACCGCCTGTGAGCCTGGACGTCATGGAGCCAGGGCTGAAGCCAGCATCTGCCTGCACCCCCCTTGCTGACCCCTTTCCCTACTAGCCACAGGTCTCTGGAAACTCATTTACTGGGAAGTTGGAAAAAATGGTTGGTTTGGCTCCAATTTGGCTGGTGACCAAGCGCCGATGAATGGAGATTTCCTGCGCCCCAGCTGCGTTCCCAACTGTGCTGGGAGGGGTTTTCCCGGCTCCAGGGTGTTGTGGCACAGCCTCCAGCACTGGCACCGGCGGGGGTCTCGGGAGGGAGGCGTGGCTGAAATGCGCTCTGCGCTTAGCGGAGTGCTGATATCTGGAAATCCCAGCGAGCGAAGCCTTTTCCAAAGTTGGTGTTTCCCGCAGGGGAAGGGTAGGTCTCCATCATTTTCCACATGAACATCTTCCAAGGCTGGTGCGAGAGGGGCTGCAATGGGACATTGTACTGGGCAAAAGGTCCTTTCGATGGCTGCATCTCCAAGGATGAGCACAACTTCATGGCATCCCATCCTAAAAAGCTCCATCTGGGGTCAGGCAGAAAAACATCCTACATGTGGGAGGTGCTGGCTGTTGGCTCAGGAAGGCAGGTGAGATGCTTGCAAGCTTGAAGATGCCCGTTGGTGCTCCTGTCCTGCCCCAGATCCTCGCTGTGCCCCAGCTCCCACCAAGGATGGGCTCAGAGACACCCATGGGACATCCTGCAGAGCAGAGGGACTGGTCCCCACTCTCCACCCCTCTCAGGGGTGCCAGGGTGGGTGATGTACTCCCACCTGCTCCCAGCAGGCAGGGTACTGGGGGCTGCCAGTGCCACAGACCAAAGGGACAGGAAGTATCGAAGGATGTGAAAATCATGTTGCCACGGAGACGGATGCTAAATGACTCGCGGGGACGTGGGCTCGAGAGATGCTGGGTGAGATGTGGTGTCCCCGGCGGCTACCCTGGGCCGGGAGGATGCTTCCCATCGGCTTGCATCGCCATCACCAGCTGAACGGAGATGTCCTCCTCCTCCTCTCCGGAGCACGTGTGCATGGACACGTGTGTGGTGGCCAGACCATTCCTGCAGCACGTCGCGGGGGTGCAGCTGTGGTGGTGCCTCACTTGTGAAGGAGCACGACTTGCTCTCCATATATTAGATAAGCTCCTTGGCTTGCCAGACCTCTAAATCTCCCTGCCCGCTGCTGGCAGTGCTGGCAGGCGCACCCACTGGTGTAACCCCCAGCTCCAGAGTCCCCAAAATGAGGAAATAAGGAATTTGGCAGCAAATATTTCTTAGGGGAGCTGCAAGGTAATGGCTGTGAGAGTGGTGTGATGGGAGAGGGCGAGCTTGGGTGGTTGTGTGAAGAAGCAGGTATTTGGGGATGGCTCTGGTGCTGGGAAGATTTGGTGGTTTTTCTGGGTATGTCCCAGCCCTACAGCCACTGGCTGTGGATGCTCAAGCCAATTTTTCCCTTCTTTTATCATAAATCACATTTTTGGCTTCCCCATTGTATCTCTCAAAGCATTCAAAGGGTGCTTCAAAACTCCTGTCTTATCCATCTCTCCGAGCAACTAAGGAGTTCCTGGAGGGGAGAGAAAGGACTCCCTCCTGATTTAAACCTCAAAAAGCTTTATTTTTATCAGATGTGCAGCCTTTTTTGTTACTTTTCCCAATAGCTGTGGTTTCATGAGTGCGATAGCTCCTGTGCTGGTAGGTACAATTCACTGGTGGAGAATTTTTTTCCTCCCTCTCCAGACCCTGAGTTTAAAGGCTCCTGCTTTATTTACTGATGAATTCAATCAATTATCATAGCGTATAATTCGCTAAGCTGCTTTCCCAGATGCAGTGATGCTGCTGTGAGGGAGAGAGGAAAAAATCACCTCTTCAGTCCAAATTTTTCATCTAAACAAACAACTTTTTTTCCAATCTTTTTAAAAAAATATAAAGAAACATCCCAAGCAACTGGGTTTTTTTGCCATTTATTTCAGATCTGTGATTGCTAAAATAATTATGAACTGTTAGAATAAGTGCTGTGGCCAGTCCTTCAACGTCACCAGGGCTTGGGGAATGGAATGGAGAGAGGAGCCCAGGAGTCCTCACTCCCGGGTCCTGCTGTCTGACTGCAAAATATCTCTGCTGAGGTTTTTTAACAATACTGCAGGGCTGTTTCCAGATTTTCCCTAGATAAAATATATTTAAAGCCTGGCATGTCCCCTCTGCATGGGGATGGGGTGCAATGGGCTGTGGGGTGGTCACCCCCAGCTGCACAGCAACGATTGCTGCTTTATCACAAGTGCACACTCAGCTCTTGCCAGAGGCTGAACGCAGCAGAAACCCTCCTTATCAGCACTATTTCCACTGTGCCCTGCAAAAAAAAAGCTTCCCAGCTCATGCTTGCCCTGGGACAAGGGTTATGACCCTGGGGAGGCTGGTCCTGATGTGGGTGTGGGGGACACACGTGAGCCAGGCTGGCTGCACGGGGCAGCACTGGGTGGCTTGGCGGTGGATGGGAATGGGATGGAGACGGTTTCCACTGTAGGGTCTCCTCAGGCTCCATGCCCCTGGCTGGGATCAGTGCCAGCAGCCCGAGGATGCACTATGACATCGCAAGGCCCTGAAAATGCAAGGTGCTGAAGGCAGCCATCGGCTTAGGGCCCCTAAATGAAGCCCATGTCTTGGGAGGGTCATAAATAAATGCAAGACCCCGATAGCCACCCTCTGGGAAGCCCCCCAGCCACAGTGCAGGAGATGTGTTCAGTGCCAGGCACATGACCGGGAGCATCTTGGGGCAAGAAGTAAAAGGCTGGCCAGAAATCATCTCTCCTCCTTCATCCCTTATCTTTCGTCCTTCATCCCTCATCCCTCCCTCTTCATCTCTCATCCTTCATCCTTCATCCCCACTTCTACACCAGCCAGTTGGAGCTGGGCAGGGATACAGGGTGAGCAAAGAGGCCAACGTGTTCCCTCCACACCCATCAGCCCAATAAAACATTGCGAAGTCCATTATTTCCTTTCCCCCCCCCCTTCTTTAATAACTGAAAACAATCCCAGCCCTGAGGCGAGTGAGCGTGACTGCTCTGGGAGCATTAATCATCCCCCGCGAGCCCGGCGCGGGATATCGCGGCTGTTTATCCAAGCTGCTATTAAAAAATCGCCATAAACGTGCCTTCAGCCTCTTCTGAAAGAGATTAAGTGTTTGCACCGATCGTATCACCCACCCGGCTCAGCAAAGTTGTGTTCCTGGTGAGGGGGAGTACAGGGTGGCTTAATTGCTTCCTGGAGGAGATCCAGGGTCTTTTCCAGCCAGGCTGCTCCGATCCCCAGCCCGGGAAGGTGCCAGGTTCCTGGGAGAACTTTGTCCCAGCTGGGAATCACCCATTTGTCAGCCTTCATGGAACCCCAGGAAATTGGGGAACCAACCTCCTCAACGTGACCCCACAGGGCCCCTTGTGCTTAATCCCAGGCTACCCCATAGCCTCTCCCTTGGCAGCCACAGAACCTTCCAACGTGACATTTGTTTTCTTCTCATATTTAGTGAAAAACTGTTAATTTTGCCTCAGGTTTGGGATTTCATGGGGAACTGCAGTGGGTGAGGTTGTTTCAGGCAGCAGCTCGGCTCCTCCGACACAGCTGGGCTCTTGAATTTCAATCCTCCGGGGAGGCATCTTGCAAATTAGCATTTCTTAGCGATAAAAACTTGATTTAGGAAGGGAAAAAAAACCAACCAAACCAAACCAAAAGAGGTTAGGTCAGCAAAATGGTAATTTGATAATCTCTGGTGGAGGGAAGGGAAGCTGCCCATGCCAAGGTGGGAGTGAGCAGCAGGGGAAGGACAGGAACTGCTGGTTTTACCATCAGTTATCAGCTGATGATGCTTCTGTCAATCTGAGGGTGTTCGGCAGCCCAGGACAAACCTGGAGCAGGTGCCAGGCTTGGCTGGTAGCCGGGAAGCTGGAGCAGCAACTGCTGAGCCGCTTCAAATCACTGGTCTGCAGGAAGCTGTGGCAGCCCTGAGCCCCCCCTCAAGCATCCCTGAGCCCCTCCAAGCATCCCTGAGCATCCCTGAGAACTCCCAATCATCCCTGAGACGCCCCCAAGCATCCCTGAGAACTCCCAATCATCCCTGAGACCCCCCCAAGCATCCCTGAGAACTCCCAAACATCGCTGAACACCCCCGAGCACCCCCAAACATCCCCAAGCCCTGCAGGTCCATGCCAGGACAGCCAGCACTGGCTCTGTTACCTGACCAGCATGTCACTGTGAAGGGAGGATTTTATTATTGCCAGCTCAGGGAAAGCTCAGGCAGATTTAATAAAGCCATTATGCTCCCAGCAATGTCTTTAATGAAAGAGCTGGTTACAAACGGCTCGCTCTTCCCTGGTAAGAGGAAGGTGCTGCCAGTGTAGAAGGGGCTTGTTTGCTGCCAGATCAGCTGCTTCCAACGCCCCTTGCACGTGGCAGTGGGTGCAGGGACCCCTTGGAAAACGTTGCCCCGTGCCACCCTTGGGTTTGTCCCCGCTGTGTGGATGGGACAAACAACCATGTCCATTTAATCATGTAGGGGTTTTGACTGCTGAAAGTCAAGATTGTTGGGCTGGATGCAGTTATAAATATTTATAAAGCTGTTTCGTGTTGTACTACATCAGTGTTGTTCTCAGCAGAGGTTGAAGCTTTTCGTCTTGCCAAGTATCCTAAAGGATGAACGCCTAAATTTCATCCTCTTTGAGGCTTTTTCAGGGGTCTCAGTGGGCCCATGGTGGGGGAAATCCTCCTTTCGCTCTGCCCAGACACCCGGCCAGCCCTTTCTGGCCGAGCACAGCCCCACGGCTCAAGGTTTGCAGTTTATGGTGGCTTTTATGACTTTAGCTGATTAACTCTGTAAACCATTTCCCAGTCACAAAGCCCGGCCGCAGGCTGGGAGGCAGCAGCAGCTCCTACGGCAGCACCGCACGGTGGCGAAGGCTCGGGGTGGTGGCCCTGGGACTCTGCCCCAGGCTTCAGAGGGGTCTGGACTTTGCTTTTGGGGTGACAGGTCTCCGTCAGGCCCCGGGGCTGCACTGGGATTTCGGCTCTGCTGATTCACACTGATGCTGGGGGGGGGAGGGGGGGGGGTTGTCTGGCTCTTGGGGTTTGTGCCCCACGGCACAAGTCCACAGCGGGGACAGGGAAGGTGATGGGGGTGTTGGGAACCTCAGTAGGGTCTTTAGGGGTGCCTTTGCTCAGGAGGGGCTGAGCAGGTGAGAGCAGCCCCAAGGGGAAGGGCTGGGGGGGAGCAACCCTGTGCCCAGGCAGGGGCGGTTACACCTGAACTTCTGCACCAGGGGGGCCCCGGGTCCCAGCAGCCACCCCAGGTCCCAGGGAGCTCCGGCTCCCATGGGTGCTCCAGGCCCCACCAGCCGCTCCAGGCGTGAGGCTGCGCTGGCTCCCACGGGGGAGTTGAGGGGGTGCTCCGGGTCCTTCTGGGGCTCCAGACCCGCGGGTGGTGCCCATCCCAGCCGGTCACTCCGGATCCCACGGGTGATCAGGGCCGAGGATGCTCCAGGTCGATCCCTCCCCCGGGCGCTGCGCACCGCGGGCTCCTGGTGACACCTAGTGGCACCGTGCGACACATGGACACGGTCCCAC